GGAAACAGCAATTTTCCATTTTAGATCATTTTGAAATCACTGAAAGTTTGGTCGTATATGGGAAATTTAAAAAGGCATTTATTTTGGAAGGCAACATCAGAATGACTTGATATTGCTATGGTATCACTATGGGGTTGTATACCGTTGATCTAAAGTGGAATTACCCTATGGAAACAGCAATTTTCTAATTTAGAGCATTTTGAAATCATTGAAAGTTTGGTCATATATGGACTATTTGAAAGGCCTTTATTTTGGAAGGCAGCATCAGAATGACTTGATATTGATTCAGTATCACTGTGGGGTTGTATACTGTTGATCTAAAGTGGAATTACCCTGTGGAAACAGCAAATTTCCATGTTAGTGCATTTTGAAATCGTTAAAGGTAGGTCAATTATGGACAATTTGAAAGGCCTTTATTTTGGAAGGCAACATCAGAATGACTTGATATTCATTCAGTATCACTGTGGGGTTGTATACTGTTGATCTAAAGTGGAATTACCCTGTGGAAACAGCAATTTTCCATTTTAGAGCATTTTGAAATCGTTAAAAGAGTTGGTCAAATATGGGCAATTTCAAATTGCTGTGGTTTGATAGTGTTGATATAAAATGCAACTACTCTTTGGAAATATGACTTTTGCTTTTAAGAGCATTTTGAAGTCATTGAAAGAGTAGTTCAAAAATGAAAATTCACAGGGCTTTTAGTTTGAAATCCAAAATAATATTGCCTTGATATTGACAGGGCGTTAATAGTGAACAAGCCTAAATTATTTGTTATTATGTTCTTAAAATATCTGATAATTCACTCAAAGTTGAATTTTATTTTGAAACCCGGTTTCCACATCCATTCCCGTAATAATTTGAATAGACGGGGAACAGAAAACAAACTGGAGGCTGGCTTGACTGCACTGCTGGAATTGGAGGCTGGCTTGACACCCGTGATGGGGGGGGGCTTTACTTTGTGTGAGTACAAAAGTTCAGACGAGTATGCATATCGAGAAACGGCCATTCACTTTTAAGCTTTAGGAAGAAACGGGTGTATTCAGAATACAGTAAATCTGTGTGGAGAGATCGTGCAGCTTCTTCACGAAAAGGCAGCTGTCTGAGGTTCACACCTCGTTTCCTTGATATGAAGGGAGACGGCGCTAACCATCATACCCCCATGCAGCGCCAGGGTTCTGTTTTATTTGATATGTTCCATTTATTAATTATTTATAAAATATAAAAGTGTAACTGCATAATTGTTTGGTGGGAAATAAAGATGCTGTGATGAGTCTGTTGGGACTTTATATGGTGGTGTAGAACTTCCCCCACGTGAGCAAGGCTTGATAACAATTAGACATAAACAAGTTGGGTCTTACTGTCTTGACTGGAGCTTTTTGCAACAGCATCATCAAAGGGTCAACCTAACAGAGTCTACTCTTTATTTAAAGTGAAGAAATGGCGAGGTGTGTCATGAATTTGTAGACATTTGAGATTTGACACACATCACGTTCAGCTAAATCTAACCTGCAGGTTCACTAAAGGTCGACACATCTCTGCTCCTTCCTCCTCACAGCTGCATCTCCATCACTTTCTTCCCACTCCTTTTGTCTTCTCTTCCTGACGTCCTTTCCTCCTCCTGTTCTCTATCGGTAAAGTGATGTTCTCTTTGTCCTTGTAGCTCTTTTGCAATCCCTGGAAAACACACTTGATAAACATGTTGTGCTTTTTGTCTCTCTTTCTTGGCTTTTCAGCCATCCATCACCACCTTCTGTCCATTTTTTAGCCTCAGCTGTCAATGCTGCCACTCTTCCCTTCATCCCTGACTTATGATCTCTCTGTATTTAGCATATTTTGTTTATATCGAGCTCTTGAAGGCTCCAGTGTGTATAGTGAAGGCCTGTAATTCATTTAGGTTCAGAATCGATTTGTTGTGATCAAATGGTGTTGCAGATATTTGATATCAAGTTGGTGTGTGTGTGTGTGTGTGTGTGTGTGTGTGTGTGTGTGTGTGTGTGTGTGTGTGTGTGTGTGTGTGTGTGTGTGTGTGTGTGTGTGTGCGCGCGTGTGCGTGTGTGTGTGTGTGTGTGTGTGTGTGTGTGTGTGTGTGTGTGTGTGTGTGTGTGTGTGTGTGTGTGAGTGCGTGTGCACGCACGCGCTACGTGCTCTGCATGATTACACATGGATGTTTTTGAGGTGTTTAGATTGTGCGGTAAACTCACACCTGCAGTTTGCTCACCCACACATGGAGGAGATTCATTCACCAATCCGACTCTCCTGTCCACATGAGATGAGTTCAGATATTTTACTTTACAATCGGAGCGCAGGTGCCTGTTTAGACACACGTCCACACCTGCAGGCATCAGTGGTGGCAGCTTATTGTTCTCCCCCCAGCTCTTCCTCCTCCTTCTTCTCCTTCTCCCTGGGGTGCTTTCACCTCTGTGGTTGCTATGCTGCAAGCTGCTGGAGTGGATGATGTAATCTCCACTAATACTTTTGCCCCCCTCCCTTTTCATTCCTCCAAGCACCCCAACTGCCTCCCCTCCTCCTCCTCCCCCTCGCCTGCCATGATGTCATGTGAGGATTGGGCACGGAGGATCAATGAGTGCCCCCTAGTGGGACGTCACGCTCTATTATGTCTTTGTCTGAGAGGCGAGGGTTCAAACATGTTGGAGGGGTTTATATCTTTAACTAGAACAGTGGTTTTTGAATTGCACAGGGACTGATGTGGTATTTTTGTAAATGAAGCTGTGTTTCATGAGCATTTACCCCTCCAGATGTTTATCTCCATGTTAGTGTGTGTGCGTGTGAGTGGTCCTTTCATGCACGTGTCGTTTACCTTCCACTCTAATGTTGGTGTAAAGGACACATCATTATTGTCTCCAGACGTGGCAGCAATGCTCCAAACATCTAAGGGGAAGGCTGAATGTTATCTGCGTAGCACGATAAAAAGCTTTGACATTTCCACGTAAGTGTGTGTCCCATTTGCAGCTCGCTGCCTGTGATTCATGTAATACGATCGTGATTCGACATTTATCCGTTTCGTAAAAGCTTTTACAGATTCAAACTAATCAGGTGTCGGCCTTTTGTCACATTTTAAATAAAACCAGGCCAGAAGCAGTCAGAATAATCAGAATGATTCGTTTGTTCGTAGCGTTAACAACAAGTACTTGTTTGACGCATCTGCATTAGCATTACGTGCAAAGCTCTACCTCAGTCATAAACAAGACAGAGGGAGGTGGATGATGTTGTGTTTGTGCATTTCTTATCTGCAGAGTTTGTCTTCAGTTCAAGTCATCTGTCTGTCTCACAATCCTGTTTGCTGCTTGGATTGGGTTTCAATCCAGCTGGTGTGGGCAAAACAAAAACTTTAATAAATCAAGTAGGTCTTGCAAACGCAACCAGAACTAGTGTTTAAAGCTGTTTGGTATTTACCAAAGACATGCTGAATGTAAAAACAAATTAAACAACAAGGGGCAGCAAATGTCATCAGTTACTCAGATCTGCACCAAAAGGTTTTTATTCTTTGTGGGATTTTGCTAAATTGTGGTAGTCCTGCAAATAAGCTCACAGGAACGAAGGAATCAGGCAATGTTCCCAGATGAATGTTAAAGATCAAAGTTACTCACATTTTAATGCATTTACAGCAGTCTCTGGTAGGAATGAATGCCTTGTAAGTCGTTCTTTCAGCCGGAGGAGAAAGTGGCAGAAAACAGCAGGATCTTTCCTCTGATTGGCTAACAGCAACACAGCTCTACCACTGACTCTGTTCTGCTACATTGATGTTTTATCTCCACAAGCAACTCAAACATGGAGGAGTTCTGCTGTGTTGTGGAGTTGCTAATGCTAACAGTTAGCTTCTACTAGCCGAGACGTTCTCTGCTGTTTCCTGGACGCTAAACCAACGACAGCCTTCCCCGTCGTGAATCAAGGAGATTTGTAGACCTGTCAGGATTTTCTGAACCGAGCATATCAGAAGCCAACACAGGAAATAGGGGTAGAAGACCATTTTCATATTCAGCCTGCATGTTAAACTCAGAGTGACAGATCACTTCCACCAATCAGTAAAAAATGGTTTCTCAGTGAATCTGCTCTTTAAAATTATTTAAGTCCAGTCGATCTTCAGGAGTTTAGTTGCGGTTTTTGACCGGTCAATACATTTTGAAGCTTACTCAAAACAACTGGTCCGAATCTGTTTTTGTCATCAGTGAAAGTTTCAGAGGCCCGGGGTCAAAACAGGAACTTGAGATGGTCATTCATACGTAGATTTTCTCTTCTGCGGATAATTGGAAAGCATTATTGATGCTCTGGACATTCTAGTCTCCTGCTAAAAGCAGCTGAGGACTTTCATTTGTGATTTTTATCTGAAAGCTGCTTCATAAATCATCTTTACTTTATCACTAGTGATTTCATCTTTTCAGACTTCGTAAAGCCTTATTTAGGAAAGAGAAACTGTTGGTTTTTCCTTTCATCACTTAACATCCCTCCACATTTGAATAATGTCTTTCTTGAGGCTTTTTGGCACAATTATACAAATTATGGATGTCTGTCTGTCATCCTGGGATTTTTGACCAATGAGAAAAATGAGTAAAATTGTGGTGGATGGCTTTAAAATGAGGTGTTTCAGACAGGATCTTAATTTTCTAAACCAAATTGCTAATCACCTAAAATCCTTTTCGTTTTTAAGGCAGACATCACTGGATCCTTTCCGATAAACTCAAATAAAAGAGTGATTCATAGCTTCAAAAACACATTTCATCTGTTTGATATTTTTATGGTACCTTAAATTTTCCTCAGACGGCGGATTTCTTTTGTGACCACGGTGACGTGATGGTGACTCACTGCTGGAAGCATCTTTTACTGCTCCTCTTTCTTGGTTTCAGTAATCATTAGCAAAAAAACAGATGAGTCATGGTGTTAATTTGGTTCTTTACGTGCCAAATATTCCAACAATCACATTTTTGGGTTTGTTTGTGGCTTCCTGCTGTTTCTTACTCCTATCTCCCATGTGTCTCCTGCAGCCTGGCCCAGGTATCGGATTCTGCGGGCTCTGGACACCGGCCAGTACAATTTGGAGATTTCCAACTCAGAGCTTTCTGATGACTCTCTTTATGAGTGTCAGGCCACCGAAGCTGCCCTGAGGTCCAGAAGAGCCAAACTCAATGTACTCAGTAAGTGAAATGCATTTAAAAAGAAACATTCTGTCTATTTTCTGTTTTTCTGATTTTCCAGTTGTCCCCTTTTTATTATGAAAGTTCAGATGTAAAAATCTGAGAATGTCCCTTTATTACACATCTTAAAGGTGTGGTTCACTCATTTAATCAATACATTTGCAGTGATCTCTAGCAGGAATGAATGCTATTTAACCCTTAAAAACCCAAACCCTTTTGAAATACAAAGCAGGTTGGAGTAAAGACATCAAATTGTAGAACCGCACTAGTTAAAATAAAGAAGCAGAATAATTTTTGATTCATGTATGCTTGGATGTCACTTAGTTTTCAAGCTTGAATATATGACTCCAGAGGTGATTTTGCAGATGTTTGAAATGTGATGTGACACCAGAAACAAAGCTCAGGTGCACCATTTTCAGGAACTAGAAGTGAGCCACATCAAAGCTGAGCTGGAGGAGTCGCATTTCCTGATATTTGGACAGAAATATTCTCGCTTCTGATTGGATAACAGCAACGAGACTCTACCGCTGACTCTGTATCTTCTGCAATGTTGATTGTTATCTCCACAAATAACACACGCAGGAGGATTTCTGCCGTGTGGTGGAGTTGCTAAAGATAATTGCTAGCATATACTAGCCTAGACATTATTTGCTGTTTCCTGGACCCTAAACCAACAACAGCCTTCCCCGCCGTGAGACAAAATGGGTGAGTCCATGAATGATAAGTGACAGGGTGACATAGATCTGTCAGGATTTTCTGATCCTAGAGTTTCACCATCTATTTTCTAGCAGAAGCAAATGCAGGGGATAGGTGTAGGAGACTATTTTCATGTTCAGCCTGTGTGAAACACTCAGAGTGACCCATTATTTTCATGAATATTAATTTTAAAAAGTTATTCATTGTATTCTGATAAAAATTACAGATATTCAGGAGATCCTGGGAAACGAAGGACTCGTTAAAGGGTTTATCAAACATGTCCGCTCAATGTGACTTTAGTGTGTTTTAGGCTTTGCGAGTCACTGCACATGCTGGGCGTTTACCTTCTAGGTTTTTGTGTTCACTGTTGTCTTTTGGAGCATAATCATCCACATTTATAATAAGTATGCATGTTGTATTCACTAAGAGTCCTGCCAACTCATCTGCACACACATTTAGTAAGCTTTAAATGACTTGAACGTAATGTTTAAACAAGATAAGAACAACAGAAATAATCAGAAGTTGATACCTGGAAAGAAATATTTGAAGTATATTTTTATTTTTTAGTCAGGAATATGCCCCAGATATATCCCAGATGTTTATGAGGGGTTTAAAACGCTCACTGCAGCCAGCCACATGGACATAGCCAAGTCCAAGAATGTGTTACATTCTTGGCTATGTCCACGAGTAACACACTGTATTCCAACTTTTTAGAGAAATAGCTCAGCAGATATTTATTTCTAGAAACTTGTATTGTTTTATTTTTGCAGAACATTCTCTTAAAATATATAAAACAATAGAGGTACTGAAAAAAATAGATTCAAGTCTGAATCGGGATTCTTATTTATAAAGATTCCAAATCGATTCACAAAGGTTCAGAATCGATTCCAAGAACTCAAATATCTGGCATGTTACAGGTTTGAGATGCACTTTTCTGATCTTTGTTAGGAGTCAGTACTCCGTTTACGTTTGTGGTCCCATAAATTGAGATGATTTATGTTTGAACCTGCTGATAAGAGGGCACTTGAATGTAATTTTTTCCATACTCAGAAATTTGAGATATTCTCATCTTTATTTTCTAAGTTGATAAATGAGTACTCAGGTTTAGTAAGTAAGTAAGTAAGTAAAAGTTATTTATAGAGCACCTGTCACGGATATAAATCACAATGCGCTGTACAACATGAGTAAGATCAGGGCAAATACCTCTAACCAATAAAAACATCCGAAAAACAATAGCAGTGATAAAATAGAAAATGAAATTATGAGTATAAACAAAGTGAAAGTGTGAACCCGAACAAAGCCATCTTTATGAAACATTTAGGGAGGGAACGCCTGGATGAAAAGGTGAGTTTTTAGATGATTTTTAAAGATATCTACAGTGTTAGAGAGACGGAGGTTTGAAGGTAGACTGTTCCAAAGTCTGGGGGCAATAGTCTGAAAGGCCTGTCCCCTTTGGTTTTCAGTCTGGTTCGAGGAACAGCCAGGAGGTTTACTCATGTAACTTGTTTCTACACATACTTGAAAAGTATTTGACTATTACTTTCAAAGCTAATGCTAGGTAACTACAGATTTGTTATATTTTACAAGGTAAGCAAAAATAAATGTTGCCTTTTGGTCAAAAGATTGCTTCTGTTTACAGTTTTAGAATAACTATTTTACATTGTAAATTTGCATTTTTGAAGCATGACCAGTTTAAAGTCAAATAAAAATGTCCCAAAGCTTTAACTAACTTGTACAACAAAGTAGTTAATCCTGGAGCTGACACTCTTTGTTAATACTGATTGTGAATCGATTTAAATTGAGAATTGAGAATCGAGAATCAATTCTGAATCGAATCGGCACCCCAAGAATCGGAATCGAATCAAATCATGAGTTGCTCTAAGATTCACTTCCCTATAAAACAACATAAAAGTGTTTATTTGGTACAAGTTCGAACCCTTAAAGTGGCAGGTCTGCTGCTCGAGAGAGCGCGTTTTAATCTTTATAATTATATAAACATGAATTTAATTAGAAACATAATAAAACCTTACCTTGCATTAATATGACCCTAATATTTAATATAATTATATAATAATAGAATTTTTTACATTTTCTTGTAATCTTTATTGCCGAAAAATAATAAAAAGCGAAAAAGCTGGAAGTTAAAGGGTTAAATACATTCAAATCACTTGCATTAAATTGTTTTTTGAGCTGCAATCTGTCTTTTAAAGCTTAGTTTGTTTAACAAATTACAAGTTGGGGTTCTGTTAATGATGCGTTCATTATAAATACATCTAATCTTGCAAACTGAGAGTGGGGGGTGTACAGTCACTATTGACAGTTTAGTCTAAAACTGATATTTAATTTTAAAAAGCAGAATGAGGCAAAGAAAACATGAGATGCTAACAAATTAAAGTTACAGATTAGTGCTGTTTCTGCCTTTTGCCATGAAAGTTTGGTGTTATGTGAATATTGTTAAAAGTCACCATTTACAGTGTGAAAAAGGACACTCTGCCCTTGACTGGTGAAAGAATTTCCACTTCCAAAGTGTGAACTTGTTTTAAAGACTGTCTGAAGAGCCAATGTTCTTTTGACCTGTGGGGAAAAACTGGGGATGGAGCTGTTCTTTAAACCTGTGTGCCCTTGATTTAAAGCCGGAGTATGGATTTGTATGTCTGTCCTCCAGTTCCCCCTGAGGATCCGGTGGTGGAGGGAACGCCGGAGCTCCTGCTGATGGCTGGAAGTCCACACAACCTGACTTGTGTAACCCGCGGGGCCAAGCCTGCAGCACACATCCAGTGGACCAAGAACGGAGTCCCAGTGGACGGAGCGTACCACTCCACGGTGACTCACACACACCTGAACACTCGGGAACGTCGTGCGCCATAAAGCACACGTAAAGCAAGATTTAGCTTATCCAGCTTAACAGATGGAAGATGCTTTTTAATGGATCTAAAAAAAATATTCAGACAAGATCCATTCCAGAATGAATGTCGTTGTTCTGATGGTCCTTTTTTGAGATGTACATTCATCAAAATACACATTAAATGCTAACAAATGTTAGTTTTGCTATTTGAAGGTTCACACAGAAGCACAAGAGTCCTGATTTCTGACACGATTGTCCCATTCAGATTCAGGCTTGTCTGATTACCTTAATGGCTCTAAAGATAATCTTATCAGATTCCCAGAGATGGGGATCGTAACGTCAACAAGTCAACTCCATGCCAGGATTTAGTTCTGCACAGCAACTGAACCAGGTTCATTCACCGTGCTGATTGACCTGGTTTAGTTGCTGAACTTAAGAAAAACACGGCATGGAGATGACTTGATGCCACAATTCCCATCTCTGGATTTTCCTGCTGTGTGTGGTCCACCAAAAAACAAAAACTGTTGGGATAAATGCAGAAAATCACCACATACCTCAGTGATTTCTCTCACGTTTAGAAAATTGTCCAACGATGGGAAAATCTTGTCGTGTGAGTTGGGCTTAAGTTAAGCCAGCCCTTCGCTGTGACTTGGCGACAAGCTGAAGACCAAACACTGCAAAAGAACGGGAAGAATTTCAGCTGGAATCACATGAAACTATAGCAGAACAACCACAACTTCTTCACATTCGTGTAAATGTGCCGTTTGGTCAAAGTATCATAATTAATCTTAATTTGGGAACAATCTGTCCTCTCCAGCACAGATTTATCTTTCTCTTCTCGAATCAGTCTCAAGAATTTGAAACCTTCCCTAGAGATGCTTTTGTTCCACAGAAGAGTGAGCGACTGAGAAGAGTTACAGATGGATGCCGTAAATACTACGACTACTTTGAGACAACAAGTTCATTTTAAATTCAAAACAGTATAAGGAAGAATTAGGAAATTCCCTAGCGAATGCTGTTCTAGATTCCTGAATTTTCCAGAACAAAAACTTTAAATAAACCAACTTATTTCCAGTTTTTGCTAAGCCGAATCTGCAGATAAAGAAGAAATTTAGTGTTTTGGGATTCAAAACTACCAAAAGGTTGACTCTGAGAAAATGTACGAGGCGTGTTATAGAGGCCTTCACCGTGCTTCTGTAGATCCTGGCTGTTTGGAAGTTAGACTCCAAAAGCATGCCTGATGCTGGCTGGGTTGTGTTTTTAACACAACGCACAAATTCAATAAGTTCTAATTTACCAAAAAAAAAAACAGACCTTCCATAAAACACACACACACACACACACACACACACACACACACACACACACACACTATCATACATATGAGAGCTGCATTTTCAAGTCATGGCCTGAAAATAACTGAAAACTTCTTTCGGTCACCCACCAAAGACTTAATTCCTATTTTTTTATTCTGCAGCATCATAACTTCACACGGATATTCTTTAAGGTTTTTTAATTTCTTACTTTCCTCCATTTTACTCGATGCATTTCATTTTTCTACACCATCCTCCTTCTCTTTCGTCCTTTCCTCTGATCCTATCTGGTTCCTTCATAACACTTTTCATTTCCTTCACATTTCTCTGTGTGGAACAGGAAGTGCTGCCCGACAGGAAGAGAGTAACGAGCAGGAGCTATCTCCCCATCACTCCAGTCGACACCGACAGCAGCAGCAATTTCACCTGTGTGGCCAGCAATCCAGCAGTGCCGATGGGCAAACGAGCCACTGTCACTCTCAACGTCCACCGTACGTTAGCGCTGGGCTCTCGGGGATTGATAGGTGGCTCTCCACTTCCTGGAGCCTGGCCAGATTTTTAGAAACACATAAACTTTAAATGTAAAGGATTTAAAGTTGCTCTTTTCTAAACGCTGTGTTAGAGCTGAGCTTGTTTTAGTTTATTGCCTGCCCCTCTTGTTTTGACACCAGTTTTGAAGCCGATTATCTTCCCAGAGCAGAACAGCAATTTAATTTCCTCCATGAAGGGAACAATTAATTTTTCTCTTGTGCAGCTAAAAAGAAGAAAAATAGAGAAGAGAATGAGTCTGAATATTTAGTCACACAGGCTGACTTTTCTGCAACTAACTCATGATAGTTTTACTAGAAGGTGCATTGTCTTTAAATTATTTCTATTTTACTTCCTAATCAATGATAGAAAATCAAAAGTTATTGTTGAATAAAATCCAAAAATGGTTCACTTTTCTGACTACATTTACAAAAACATATCTTTACATACTTTCTACAACACTTATTTAGTTTTTCATTATTTTTACATAACTTAGACACATTTTTATTTCTGAAATAAATCGTTTTGAGTTACAAAAAAGATGAGGAAAACCTCAGAGGCATCAAAAGTTCAACATTTCTTCATTTCAATACCGTCTTCAGTATCTGGTAGCTTTTTGGTCTTTAGAAAATACATGAACTTTTTTTTACTTTGTATAAAATATTTTTTATAAAGCCTACATGTTGCCAGAATATTTTACTGAACATATTTTGTTTCAATCATAGTAAAAGTGTTTAAAAATCACGTACAGTTTAATGTTTCTGCCCACTGCTCTTAGAGAAGTTGGGAAATAAAGAACGCAATATTTTTGTCAAATCCACAGCATTTTATGCCCAAAGTGAACTAAATTAGATCAATAAATGCATCTGAGTTGCAGGCTGAGGAACCGGCGAGCTTGAAAGGAGTGAAGTTTATTTATTTATTTATTTTTAATCAGGTAGCAAACAAACAGGCTAAAACAAGCATGAACACGAGGCCTCGTCTCAAATATTCAAACCAAACAAACGAGAGGAGCTGATGGGTTTATGACTGTTTGTCTGTTTGGAGAGCGATTGCTGAATGAGAGCAACTGAGCTGATTGATGAATGGAAAACCGCAGTGAGAGGAGCTGAAGAAAAGCAACAAAAACATGTCAGCACGATTAGGAAAACTTAATGAAACAAGCAATGAAATCAACCTTAAACCAGGGGCGCCCAATCCTGGGCCTGGAGGGCCGGTATCCAGCAGGTTTTAGTTAACCCTGCTTCAACACACCAGATTTCAATCAGCAGGTGATTAACAGGCTTCTGCAGAGCCTGATGAGCTGCTGCAGGTGATTCAACCACTGAATGTTGGAGAGAAACCACTGAAATGTGCTGGTTACCCTCCAGGACCAGGATTTAGCACCCCTGCCTTAAACCCTGAAATAAATTTTAAAAAGTCAAAACCAGCTGTGCTATCACCCCAAAAAGCAAACAACCTGACTCAGAATGTTATATAAATGTGTCAAATTTACAATTATTATTACGTTGTCTGTCTGTAAATCCTCCCAGACGTCAGTTTTTCAGCCCGTCAGTGACTTTATTTGCTTATAAACCTTGAGTGTGTGTGTCTCTCTGTTCAGACCCGCCCACGGTGACTCTTTCCATCGAACCTCGCTCTGTCCTGGAGGGTGAAAGGGTCACATTCACCTGCCAGGCCACTGCCAACCCCCCTATCATGGGCTACAGGTGAGATTCACGATGACTCTCATGTTTCATCACAAGTAAGGGGTCACATCTGCAGAAACGATTCAGAAACAGCGACTCACAGCGTTAGGAGACATCATGCACCACCAACATGAACTGTAATGCGTTGTTGGATCAGAAAGTGCTTATTTGTGTGTTCCATTTATTGCTTCAGTCCCATTTTACTGCATTTTACTGTTGTTTATAAATAATGTCACCAAAACCTGTCCCTTCTATTTCCAACCATCCCATTGCACCCTCCATGTGTAAATGGACTAATCTGTTTGTGTGCCTAAGTGCATTTCAGGATTTGAGGAAGGTTTTGATGCTGGTCCTGCAGTGCAACATTAGCAGCCTGATCAGATGATCGATGCCAACGGGTTTCCTTTTATCTGCTCCAATCTGGCTCCATGTTCTCTCTGGAGTTGCTCCCGAATTGTAATTTCTGCTTAGAGAACAAAATTGGCAAAAGTATTGAACATTTGTATACTCCAACACTGACTTTTATTGTAAGAGACATCTCCGAAGCACTGAAACTGCAGGAAAAGGGTGAAAAAAGAAAAATGCTCCATCAGAAAGGGTCCTAATGTGGGAACACTGCCAGGTACTTAGGCACGAAGCCTATCGAGTGTGCATTAAAATGTCATCTAGTGGAGAATGTGCAATATGGTGATATGATTTTCAGCTAGATATCTGGCAAGGCATTTTATGGTTAACAGAGATTATTATAATTTATTACAATATTTCCTCTGGGCTTTGAAATGGAGGTTTTAAAAGTCTCAGATTTATAGATAATTACTTTTTTAATAGCTTTTAGGGATCTTCACTGTCTTTTTGAATCTCCTGCTGACAGGCAGACATGGTGATGATTTGTTGCATTAAAACGAAAAAACGGTGTTGTTTCCTGTCAGGTGGGCCAAAGGCGGCGTGTTGCTGGAGGGGGCCAGAGAAAGCGTGTTTGTCACCACGGCAGATCACTCCTTCTTCACAGAGCCAGTGTCGTGTCAGGTGTTTAACGCGGTGGGAAACACCAACGTCAGCATCCTGGTGGATGTGCACTGTGAGTAGGCTGCAGATGGGACAAAAATGGCCCTTTTTGCTTCTATGAATTTGAAAAATACAGCGACTATGCTTGCTGAAGTACCAAGTTAGGAGTAATCACTCGTTTCTTTATATTTTGCTTTCAAGTAGCCAGATTTTCTACACCATAAAATGAGTAAAAAGCTAAAGTTCAAAGAAAAAGCAAACGCCTGTTAGAAGATTGGTCATCCTCCTGGGACCCCACATCCCCATCAGTAATACCTGCTGAATCATTTAGAGCAGGGCTATTTCATTCTGATCCTGCAGGGCCGGTGTGCAGCATGTTTTCATGGTTTCTCTGCTCCGACACACTAGATTCAGTGGTTGAATTCTTTATTATTTGACTCACACCTTCAAACCCTTGACTTATTAAAAATGTGTTTTCTTGTTTTTGCTGCTTTTCCCTATCAACATTGTTATTTTATTCTTGTATTTCTGCATTTTGTGTTTTTTCAAGTCAACTATTGAAACAAAATGGTGAAAGACCTTCACTGGCTCAGATGACTCCTTCCTATTCGTCTTTGTTCTTCTGTAGTTGAACCATGATGCTAAAGAGGCTCGTTCAGTAAAATGTCTGATTAGAGCGGCCATTTTCTTGTTTTCTTCTCTTCTTTTTTCACACATTTTCTCTCTTTTGCATGAGTCACCACTTTAGGGATGAAACATCAGAACTTCAGATCATTTGGAAAATAACCGATCAGAATAATTATCACAAGGACAAAGGCTTGGTTCTTTGGAGTAAAAAGTAAAGAGGGATGACTCAAGACTTTTGCACAGTGTCCTACGTCTGTAAAGAGACTTATTTACGTTAAAGATTAAACATTGTGTCTGTTATATCATGGTGAATTAAAGAAGACGTCATATTTTAAAGTAAATTTGTCCAACACGATTAGTTTGAATGAATAATAAAATCATGAAAAGTTTTTTAAATGTTTTGCATATTTTTTATTAAAGAGTTCATCAGGTCTGTTCTTCTCTGCTGAAGTTTAACAGCTTGTTGTGTTTTTTTATCTTTTAGTTGGCCCAATCCTCGTGGTGGAGCCCAGACCGGTGACGGTGGACGCAGACTCTGACGTCACTCTGAACTGCAAGTGGTCCGGGAACCCACCCCTCACCCTCACATGGACCAAAAAGGGCTCCAGCATGGTGAGAGCAACCTCCAGCTTTGGAATTTTAAATTCACTATCAAAATAAATGTTAATGTTGGTTGTTTCTCTTTCTTTATGGATAACATTGTATTTAAAAAGAAAGTAAGAATCTACATTAAACAGGCAGATCCATAAACATTTGCACGGTTTAAATGCTGACTGTACGGTGTGCAACTCTTAAATCTTTAATTTATTCCTAAGCGTTTAAGAAAGGCTTGAGGAAAAACTAATGGAGCCTGCTGCGTAAATCAACATGTTTTATGAATTAAACATTGATTTCCCTGCTTCCGTCTCTTTTTTCTTACTGCTTTCTCTTTAACAAACCCACCATGCTGCATGTCCGGGATGTGCCTCCAGGTTCTCAGCAACAACAATCAGCTGCATCTGAAGTCGGTGAGCCAGGTCGACGCAGGGCAGTACGTCTGCAAGGCCATCGTCCCCCGCATCGGAGTGGGAGAGACTGAAGTTACCCTCACCGTCAACGGTCAGCCCAAACCCGCTTACTTAGCTACTAATAACAATGCTGATATTAGCAGAAATGCAGACTGTGGAGCAGATTGTCCTACATGCAGCAAAGCTCTGAATCTGTGTCAAGCTGGAAAATGAATAATTAAACTGCTCAGGCCTCTAATGTGTTATTTGCTGCATTAGTATCATTTTCCTTCTGCTTCTGTTGTGCTGCTTTTACACACACTTGGAATCTGCCACAGCTTTTGTCCCAGGAGGCAAGAATCTCTGCATCCGACTGATCACATGCAAGACAAAGTTATATTTTGTCTTTCATTCCATGGAATGCATAAGGAAAAAAGAGCATATATGTTACGAATGAAGGGAGGGCCGAAGCAATGTGGGGTTTGAGAGTACCGATAAAGTTTCATTTGACACAAAAGCTGTGATTTCTGCAGGATACTTTTGGGAAGATGTCCTGCCTCCTGCACGCTCTACTCAGATCTCACTCTGAAATGTCGTCTATCAGATGAATAAAGCTGACACCGTGCTTGTGTGTGTTTTGCAAGTAGAAACAACTAATGTTTGAGAAGGTCTGCACCTGATTCTTCGAATGTTATCAGATGTTTGTGAGTGAAAACATCATTTGACAGCTGAAGCCACCAAACGTGCTACCAGTGGACGTGCCTCTGGCTTAAGTTAAATTGCATTAACTATTAAAATTTCCCAACATGAGCAAACTAAAACAAAGTTCCTTCAGATTCCACCAATTGGCGACACAGATGGTAAATGACCTGTACTTGTGTAGCGCCTTCTTAGGGTTCTACAACCCCCCAAAGCACTTCACAACACATTCACTCATTCACATGCTGGTGATGATGAGCTACAGTGTGGCCACAGCTGCCCTGGGGCACACTGACCAGTCACTCTGACCACCAGGTAAGGCAGGTTAGTGTCTTGCCCAAGGACACAACAGCAGCATTCTCTGCCGGGAGTCGAGATTGAACCTACAACCTTCTGATTGCGGGACAACCTGCTCTACCTCCTGATCTACTGCTGCCCTGTGTTCTTTAGAAGTTGACATTTTTATATGACATAAATATAAATTTGTAAATGCAGAAAAAATGTTTTTATTTGTATTGCTTTACTTTTAGCTGGGAGTTTCTGATTATTTTTTGTGGAAGTGTCATGAAGTCAATATTTTGACTGTTGCTTAAGAGTTGGTTGAGTAGCTCAAGTAGTAAAATAGAGTTCAGTTGTGTTTGGACATCTGGTCAGGATGCTTCCTGGATGCCTCCCTGGAGAGGTTTTCCGAGCACGTCCAACCGGGAGGAGACCTAAAGGTAGACCCAGGACACGGTGGAGGGACTATGTCTCTCACCTGGCCAGGGAACGCCTTGGGATTCCCCCGGAGGAGCTGGCCCAAGTAGCTGGGGAGAGGGAAGGCTTGGCCTCTCGCCTTAGGCTACTGCCCCCACGACCCGACTCCAGATAAGCGGATGGATGGATGGATGTTGTGTTTGGAATGGAATCCACAGGTGGATTTTATTATCACCTCTAAAATGGGACTAAGTGAGAAAACCTAAGTGTCTAATATGAAATCTGGGTTTTCAAATATATGTATTTTTATATTACTAAAATAGTCAATTTTACCAGCAAACCACCAATGAGACACAGTTTAGGACAAACTCTTGGGATTTCTGAAAAGATGGAGGCTATCTGTGTCTCATTGCTCAGTGTGATAGATGATGGTTTGGTGCACAGAAGGCTTAGAGTTAAATCCCTGGAGAGATACAGGTTTTTAGATTTGATGTGAATTATTGACAACATGAAATGCTCTGAAACAACATAAACAGCATCTATGTGTCGAGCTCAGCCTGTAAGAAGTTGTGTTGGTGTGCAGGAGATTCTGGGTTCAATCTCAGGAAATGCAATGCTTTCAAGATTTTAGGGGCTTTTATGACAACATGATTAGCTCTGGAAGCAAGACTTCTGGTGAAATCTTGACAACGTGAAATGCTCTAAAACCAAAAAGTCTCTGTCTGATTGTCTAGCTTGTCCTGTAAGTCATTGGTTTTCTGCGCAGATGGTTCAGGGTTCAAAAACATATAATGCTTTCAGACTTTGCATTCTCCATTAAATGAAATGCTCTAAAAACACAAGGTATGTTTCCAGGGTGTGGCCTAGGGTAACACATGCCACCCCACTGAGCTCTTTTCAATTGACTTTACACTGTCCACAAAATTCTTGGGATTATAAACCAAACAGTAGCATTATTGTTTCATCCTGGTCCCATTTACGCTCCACTCGAGTAGGTGGCGATAATGAACTAAGAAGTGGCTTGCTATCTCCCTCAAATAGAAGAATAAGAACGTGTGGTCTTGGCACATGTGGTGCACAAAAACCCACTAAAATTACCCATTGATATGGTATTTTCTTTTTCTCTCTCTCTCTTTTGAGGAAGGGAGGTTGTTCTCCTTCACAAAATCATTCTTGTTGTTCAGTGTTGTGAGATTTTGTGCATCACATGTCTGTGGTGGCGCCGGTGTTAACCTTTGACCTCATTTTCAACCTGCAAACGAGTGAAAGGTAGAGCTAGTGGTGAAATGGATCGGTTTTTGTTGCCCAAATTTCCACAGGTTCAGTCAGAAATGAATGAATCTTTGGAGGTGATCTCAGACCCACAAAAGCCTGTGGATTTGGATGAAGAGAGTCGACCCTTAACCGCTGCAGCAGTCGAGGGTTTTGCCGCTGGAAATGCTAACACTAACATTAGCTAACCTTGCAACACTATACATGGTTTTCTGTGTGGCTGTGTGTGTTTATGATTTCATGGAAAAGTCAGTGATTGTTCATATGTTTATGATGTATATTAATGATTGTTTCTTCAAGTGAATTTGAGGTAGATAGCAAGCCACTTCTCGGTGCATTATCGCCACCTACTGGAATGGAGTGGAAATGGACCAGGATTCTTAATACTAATTATCTTAATATGAAAAAATAAGTTAAAGTTAAAATCCCATTAGTCATCACAAACTTGTGAAATTAATCTGCATTTGTCCCATCCCTGTGTTTACACAAAGTGTAAAATGTACTGTTTGATCTGAACCTCCTACACACCAAGCTACCAGAACCAGACAAGGTCAAAGTGTCTTGGAAGAAGCTCAGGAAGGGAATCAGGCCCTCTCCGACCCCTTTCAGTGTGGTTGCTGTGATCCAGGCCCAGTCAGTCACAAGTAGGATTTAAACCAGTTGTTGCATCACTGATGACTTATTAATGCAAACTATCCACCTGCGCCACCAGAACCCTTCACACTTTGAAATGTGATGTAACATTTCAACGTGTTACTTTTTGCTTTTGTACTTGCTACTTGTTCTTGCTCAGCAACCCAGGTATTTCTCCTGGGATTGAACCCTGAACCACCTACACAGCAAACCATTGCATTACAGATAGAGATACACAAGGTGTTAGTGGTGGTCAGAGGAGCCGACGGCGCCAAATGGCAGCCTCGCCTCTGTCAGACCTCCCCAGGGCGGCTGTGGCTACAAGTAGCTTACCATCACTAGCAGTGTGTGAATGTGAGAGTGTGTGAAAGCGTCTTTGGGTGTCTAGAAAAGTGCTATATAAGTTCAATGTATTATTATTATTATTATTATTATTACAAGAACACAAAAGTCATTTGAGTTTTTAGAGCATTTCATGTAGTGGAGAATTCAGTTGGTCTAAAAGAGATCACCAGATTTTGAACACTGATCCAGCAGCACAGGAAACCAGCAACCTACAGGGGAAGCTATAATCAGACAGTGACGTGTTGGTTTTTGTGTTGTCAGAAATTTACATAAAGTCTAAAACACAATGGTTCTCCAGGATTGAACCCTAAACTTTGTGCACACCAACCTAATGACTTACTGTTTAAGCAAGACAAGCTGATGTCAACAGCCTGTTTCCAGAGCTAATCGTGTTGTCAGAAATTCCCATAAAAGCTAGAAAGCATTGAATTCCAAATCCTTTGCACTCCAACCCAAAGATATACAGCTATAATCTTGTTATTTTTATCTTTTCATGTCCTGAAGAATTAACAAAAAATCTGAAACATTCCTAGAAGTGAACCCTGAACCTTCTCTAAAGCAACCCAACACATTACCGTAGGGCCTACCAAACCCAGAGAGACTTGTGGTGAAATCTAAAGGTTCGGAAGCTAAAGCTTTCGTCTTTACCGCTGATAAAATGACGACTCACTGCTGGTTTACAGTGACTGACCTGATAGCAGCACATCTCTGCGCATTAAAAGCCAAAAGCTTTGTGGCTTATTGACCACTCAAGCATTTATTCACCAATAAAAACTCATTTTACCCCAAGGCACATAAACCACCGCGCATTTACTATCTGCTCCATTTTAATGACTGACTGCAAATCATGATCTTGGTGGGGCTAATTTATACATCAGCATAGGGAAGTCACCGCTGCTAATAAACAACACCTCCAACAGTGCGTGGCAGCTTTCTCAAACTCCTCTTTCTGCCATAGATGCACATGGATTTATACCTCGGCGTCAGATTGCCCCCGCTGGTTTCACAGCTGCTGTGCTGCTCTCATGCTTGATCAGACCATATTCTGCTTTAATTACAGACCTCACAGCAGCAGAGTTGCATCCCTGTAACTTTTATTGGGTTCTGTCCCGTCACAGAACAGGAGACTCTGTCACACAGTTGTAGCTGTAACATGGTTTTAGTCATTGGAACAGGCTGCGACAGTGTTGCTTTAAGCAGGTTTTACATGGCTTTGTGAAAAGTGTCAGTAAAAAGTAGCAGTAGCTTTTTAAGTTTGCCCTGAAATGGCTTTTTGTTGCTTTTGCATTCAACGTAATTCTCCCATTAGACACTTGAGGTCCACATTTCAGCACTTATTTATGAGATTCTTTAGAATTGTTCCTCTTTACAAGTATGAGTTAGCCTTAAAGGCATAATATGCAATTGTTTCATATTTCTAAAGCATTTTCTTGAGCCAGTATGTGCTAAAACAACCCTTTACGAAGTTAAAGAAATGCCACTCAGACGCCTACCACCCTCTGTGCCAAAATACTGCACTTGCAACTTCAGAGTGTTGGTCCGGTCTGTTGGACGTAGGCCCAATCCCAGTTCTCGCACTGTGCCATACGGTCTTCGGCAAAGTGCACTTGGAGTACGTGTGCAGTAAGTATTCCAGTGTGTGGAACACAAGTGTGCAAATAATTGACGAATTGGGACAGGGATCATTGCGTCATCGACCGCAATGCATGCCAGGATGCTGGTCGCTGTGCTACTTTAAAAAAAAAAAAAAAAACTTTCCAACAAACAAACCAAACAATTATTTGAAATAAATGTACATTCATTGCTGCTTTGTCTAAAACATTCAGAGCATCAAGTAACCATCCTAAAATTAGCTATTTTAATTTGAAAATACATATTTTCGGAAAAGGCTGCAGCAATGGGTTGTGGGTAATACCCTTAACCCAAGTTTGCATCAATGCGGACTTGGGTGAAGTGTGGATCAAGGATGGAAAGGGGGCGTGATCAACTTCACTCGCATCCCAGTATCGTGCAAGTGTGGAAGTGCAAGTATTGGGATTGGGCCTTAGTAAAGTTATGTTTTTGTGCCTGGTGCAGCAGTCCACTTCCAGCACATTTCCTGCATGTTTAGTTCAGCAACAGCTGATTTGGTTGATTTAATGATGAATCATTCCTGTAGAAACTAATGAAGGCTGAGGAGACGTTTCAGCAGTTAGACTAAGGTGTTAAAAAGACAAACGCACAGCGAGGAGATAAGTTTCACTTTTGCTTCGAACACTAGGGGGTGCTAAAAGAAAATCAAAACTGCAAAGTAACCCTTTAAAAATGATTATATTGGATTGGAATGTTCTCTCAGAACGGACGTAAAATGAAAATAAACTCTCCTTGAAGAGTGGTTGAGTTCAGCCTTGAAGATGGACCTTTATCATCTAGGGGGGTTCAGAGTAGAGCCGCTGCTCCTCCTCATCAAAAAGAGTCAGCTGATGTGGGCGGAGACCCTGGGGCAAATTCAGAACATACTTGAGGGTTTATATATCCTCTTTGTTTTTGTCACCTCGGATTTTATCAGGAGGAGCTGAAGAGGAAGGTCCAGAGTTCCTGTCTAGACCTGCTGTCACTAGAACCTAACCTTCAATATGTTTCTAGATGGAATATTATATTTCCAACCCAACACTTCCCTTCTTACAAGATCAGTAAGCTCTGATACATGGTGAGATTTGTGAGAATGACACTGAAGTTGGCTCCAGCAGCTAAATTTAAAGTAATCCCAGAGGAAATTCTTACATTATCAGCCATAACAAACACGCTGACTCAGCCTGTTTCAGAAAATTGTCATTTTGGCTCTCGGATGTGATCCTTCAGGATTTTTATAAGCCTTATTTCAAATAAAATTTAATAGGCTGAGTTTTATTTTGATGTGAAAAATAGTGCCAAAGGCTGCATTTTACACAAGAATGAATTAAATAAGATTTTAAAAAATCTAAAAAGTTTAATAATTATTATTACATTCCTATTGCCTCAAATAAGTGAAAATGGTCAAAGAAAACAGCTGCATTTTTCTTGGTGTGAGCAATGAGAATAACAATAGCAGAGGCAATAATAACACATTATTTATAATAAAAACTAATAAACTAAACTAGTATTCTAGTATGTGTGTGTGCATGGGTGAATGACTGTGGTGTAAAGTGCCTTGGGGGGTTGTAGAATCCTAGAAGATGCTATATCAAATACAGACCATTTACCATTCACTATTTGGTTTCATCACTGTTTTACATAACTTCTGGACGTACAACACTCAGGAGACAAAGTCAATCTTATTTCACCTCCTGACCTACGTCTAAACTTGCAGCTGCCGTATTTTGTGTTTGTTTTATTTATCTCTCTCTTCCTCATCCCATCTCTCTCTCAGGTCCTCCCATCATCTCCAGTGATCCAGTTCAGTACGCCGTCCGAGGAGAGAGAGGGGAGATCAAGTGTTACATCGCCAGCACCCCCCCACCTGATAAGATTGTAAGTTCATCCTCGGATGCTGTAATCCGCCGTAGAGTTGCCTGACCTTTTCAGATTGCATCTTCGTCACAAAGAGCCCTGATCAAAGCTCCTCGTCCATCTTGGGAAACACTTTCTCTCTTTAGCTCGCGTCAGCCAGGCTAAAAGACAGGCATTGTTCTCAGAGCGTGTCACGAATATGTGAGAACAAGCTGTTCCTCCTCTGTAGTAGAAGGAGTGACTCATAAAACAGCTGCCGTGGTGTTTGTTTGAAATCAGAGAGGAGACGTGCTGTGCACAAGACCCTGTGAGGCTCTGAACTGCAGCAGAGAAGATTTAAAGGAAATCCCAGATCACCGCCTCAGTTTAGATTGTTTAGCCTTCCAACCAAATCTAATTTACTGAATCGAGAAAATCTTTTTTTAAACAAAAACTTTAATATATCAATTTTTTTACAGATCTTTCCAGTGATTCGCCTCCTGTTTCTCCCATATTCTTGGCCATTAGCCTAAGAGACTGTGGAGAAAGTAACAACCTCTAAAGATGTAGCTGGTCACTTGAAACGCTTTCGATGCAGTAATGCTTCGGTAACTGCAGCAGCAGCATTAACGGGGGCTAAAGTCATTTAATTAATGGAAAAGTGTGTATTCTAGAGCTGCAGGATGCTCTAAAGAGCACCAGGTGGCAAATGGGAGCAATCATTACAGAAAAGGGACTTTAGCCAAGACTGTCCCAGCAGATGACAAGAAATCTTGTTTTAACTGAGGAATTTGGTCCTTTTTAGTAAACTTAACTGCTTTAAAAATGTTACGTTTGCAGAGTATGTCTGACTTTGGCTTTGAAAAGAATAATTACAACATAACATAAAATAATTACAGAATTCACTTCTCAACTCGTTTGCTTTGGTTTGTTCAAAATCCTTCATCTTTTCATTTACATGCAATAATTTCTCCAATGTGTAATTCCTGCAGAGTTTGGTGACTCCTAGGGCATTCATAAAACATTTGTATTAAATGTATAACCTTACTGATAAAAGTAAAAACATGTTTCTCTTCTAAACTGACGAAGAATGGGCTCAGTCACTCAGCTGCAGCAGCTGCTGAGTGACTGAGCCCATACCGGCCTGATTAATACTGCAGTATCGGTATCGGTAAAAGTTAATCGATACCAGGAACCGATGCCAATGCAGTTGCCTGAAAGCGGCTTCACTGTAACTTGTCATTTCTGTTCACCTAATATTTTAGTTTTGTGATCAATTCTATTCGTATATTTTATTTTTTTATTTACCTCACAGTCTTTTCCTGTTGAAAGCAGAGAAGAAAATAAAACCTGCATTCCAATTCATTGCAAATTTTTGGTGTGGTAGAAGTATGGATATCAGTAATTGGTATCGGCGAGTACTCAAATCCAAGTCGTATCGGTGCATCCCTACTTTCAGTCCTACAACCTGAGTGTACAGAGGGAGCCTCCAAAACTATGTTCCAGCACCAGTACGAAGAGCAGGTGCAGAAATGGTTTCAATTCATTTGTAATGAGGTTGCATTTCCTTTTTTCATTTAATGACAAGAATTGGCTTTTATTGTAAAACTGAATTGAATATGAACCCAATAACATACAAACAGTGACAGAAAGTGCTGCAGCTAAAAAAGAACAATGTGCTGCTTGACCTTTATTCTTTCATAAGGATAACGTTGACGTACAAAATGCTGCACCATGCACATCATGTGTCACACACAAGATACATTATTTGAAGTTTAATAATCGAATTGGCCATGCTACATGCTGCTTTTCCAAAAGAAGTCAGATTATTGTGCAGTCATCAGTAATCTTGTAAAACATTGTGTCCTTACGCTCTAATCATTCCTAATCATCTGTATTTTCCCCCAGAGAAGTGATTACAGCTATGGACGTGTTAACTGAGGGAAATCGTTTGACTTTACCTGAGGACAAAGTGTCCAAAATCAATTTCTATATGAGCTAAATGTCCCCATCCTAACATGTAAAGGGCTTAATGCAACAACCGTCACATTAACCTATGAGCACCACAGAGGTGAGGGAGTGAGTTCCGATCTTTTTAATTAGATACTAAAACTCTTTTATAGTACATTTTAAAACGTTTTACTATGTGAAAGAACTAAATTATTCTAAAATCGAGTTAAAACTCTGATCTTTTCTCAGTAAACTTAAAAATCAGAAACAGAATAAAATTTAAGTGTTCAAACTAAGGCACGGACTCTGTTGACCTGATCACCTGGAGCAGATCGTCCCACAGTTCTGAGGCTTTGACCGCGAACACTCCTTCACCTCTCATCTTAAGTCGTAACTCTGGAGCAAATAAAAAGTGCTTTGCCTGAGGACCTCTGACTCCCAGGGCACTTAAAGGTCAAAAAGGCAAGGCGAAAGGTCACAGAGAGCCTTGAAAGCCACAATGTGATCTTGAAGTCAATCCTAAAAGAAACCAGAAGCCATTAGAAAAGACAGCGGTTTCCTCTGGTTGCCCTTTTAAATGTTCAAGAGGTAAAATCTAGTTTTTACTTCGTTTTTGGTTTAGACCACAAAGAAAAAACTGTTTGCCACTGCAGCTTTGTTTAACTGACTCTGTATGATTAAATAAACAACAGAAAATTTTGTGCGTTAGTTGTCATGGATCCAGAAACACAGGAGTGGTCTTAACAGGAAAACAGTTTTAACATGAAACAAGGTTTAAGTTCATGGCATAAGGAACCTTTCTGCAGAACTGATCTCTCATTTCTATGTGTGCATCACAGGAACTGAAAGACACACAAAATGTACAATCCAAAATCACAAACATAAAGATGGGATCAATTAAAGAGGCTTGCAGAAGTTGAGTGCTTATCGGGAGGATGTGGGGTCATGAAATCAAGCAGGAAACACATGCCAGATACTGGAAAAGCTGTAGAGATCCATTGTGGGCAAGGAAAGAGTAATCCAGGAACAGAAACAGGATCGGGATCTCGGAAACAAAAGAGTGAGGGAGGAACGGGAGCTAATGTAGAGCGGTGCACAGGTGAGACCATCAGGCACGGCTCAGGTGAGCTGGAGGAGGCTGACTGAACAGAGGGCGTGTGGAAACAGTGTGTGTGGGCCTGAAGCTGCATTTACACCAGGTGTGGAATGGATGCAGACCAGAATCCTGACTGACATTCACACCGTCTGAGAGTGTGTGGAACATCTCCACAACGTTGCTCACGAGTTAGCAACTACATATGTAGAGTGGAGCTGGTCAACAAAGGCCACACTCGTTATACATCGCATCAATATCCCCATTGTTAACAATACCAGCAGCCTACTGGATTATTGCAACACGGGTTTTATTTTGAAAATACCGGATGCATCTCACTGCCACATGTCTCAATTCTTGTCTGGATCATGTAATTCCTACAATGTTATAACGATCAACAGAAAAAAAATAAACCATGAGGAAAGTTCCAGATCTGCTCCGCATCGCAGCCGATGTAAGTCCTCTGATTGGACGTGATGTTTTCCGGTATTCCTGGAAGCCACACGGATTCTGATCCTTTTCCGTTCCACACTCGGTGTAAAAGATGCTTCAGGGGGAAAAACAGAAGACGATGCTGGACTTTACAAAAGATGAAGAATAAACCTAACAGATACAAGGGAAACTAAACCACACATTCAAGCACTTTTCAGGATGAGAGCTGAGGTTTTCCAGCACCTGGTGATAATTTACTCAATCCAGAACAACGCATACACTCAGAATAATTAGTCCACGTCTGTCTCTAACATTGTTATGCCAGAATCAGAAAACACCACAAGCACTTTCAAGAACCTTTAAGAACCCTAATTAATGGAAAGAAAACACAATAAAGCAAAGCTTTTATTACCAGCTTTCCAAAACTAAAAGTCTTAACTTTTAAATGAAACTATAATAATAGTTTTGGCTCTTTTACTTCAACACGCCTCCTATTTCATTCCTAACCTGTTGGTTTAAAGAAATTCTTTTGAGCTGAATCTGTAAAGATTTATGATTGTAGAGGAAAACAGCGATGCCTTCCACGCACAAAGACTTGCCTAAAAGCTGTAATTTCATTTCCTGTTGGATCCTCCCGTAGCTGAAGTGATATGAGCAGCTTCTCTTTCATTCTTGCCTCTGAAGTCTGCAGGAGCAAAATTAGATAAAGCTGCAATTTATTCTAAACTGAACCTTATATAAGTCTCGACAGCAGTGGTATGAAAAGGGCTTTGAAAATACAAGATTGTTCTGAAATAATAAAGAAGAGGAAAACAAATGAATCCATTGTTTTTGTTTGAAGGATTAAACATGGGAGAAAAGACTGTGGGGCACAATAGATTAGAACAAGTGGGAGAGAGACAGAGGGAGAGTAAAATTTTGTACCTTTCAGTGTCAATTATCCAATAGTGTGTCACCAACATGACAGAAATCAGAGCTTTTAGAGCGATTCAGGCCCCTGCTGCACTGCCAGCGAGCCCAGAGCGTATAATACGATACGACATTATAGTCTAGGCTTAATGCAGAAACATGGAGACTCGTAAAATATGGAGTGTGTGTGTGTGTGTGTGTGTGTGTGTGTGTGTGTGTGTGTGTGTGTGTGTGTGTGTGTGTGTGTGTGTGTGTGTGTGTGTGTGTGTGTGTGTCCAATGAGGCAATGACTCAGAAACAGAAATACAGACAGCTTTGCTACATGATTATTACTGGAAAGACCTGGAGGAGGAGACAGTAGAAAGAGACAAAAGAAGACTGTCAGAGGGAAATATGATAACACAAATATTGGACGTACTGTAGATCTATGAGACATCTATGAGTTTTTGCTCACATTCACTTTTTATGTTTATTTTCTTTAGCACCAGTTAAAAGATGCGCCCGTCCAAACGGCGCCTGCATGCATATTTGATGTTTGCTTCACATTTAATACCCAGAAAACTCCACCGTGGCAGATTTTAGGAGGTGAAACCTGCTCAAGATTTTAAAGCTGCTAAAGCAAATCCATAGAACGAGATAGGTTTTGAAAACAAACACAATCATGGAACACTCACCGCTCCCCTCGTCGGCTATATTCCCAGAGATGCTTCTGCCAGAATCAGAAAACCACCAGTCACCATTTTCTAGATCCAAACTTCTTTCTTTAATGACTTCGAAAGGTGATTTTCTTTTTGGGACTCTGGTAGTCCTAAAGCTAAAGTGGTAGCAGACAGCTGTTTCTCCTTCTCTGATGTCATTCAGTAGAGGCCGACCGATATATTTAATTTTTTATATCAGCCATCAGCCGAAATATTTTTAACTCATTTACTGCCAGCCGTTTCCTGATCAGAAAAGCCCTTCGCTGCCAACGATTTTCAGCGTTTTCACTGTATTTTTAAGAGTCACAGAACGTTGAGCGCTAGGATGATGTCAGCTGTCATGTTTATGGGAAGATGTTTTGCCCAAGACGTGAAAGAATCACACTACAGAGACGGGGTAAGTAAAAATCATATAATAATTTTTATTAAGAATGGTGAGTAAACTAAGGGTGCTGCTCCAAACGGGAACAGGATGAACCGGAATCTAAAACGAGAAGTAGACAGATATAAAATAAACCCGGAACCAGAGAACCAAGAATACGATTTGTTTTGGGGGTTATTCTTACGGTTGATGCCCAGGACTGGTGAGGATGGACTGGGTCTTTGGGACCAGGTGGGAACGGACGAATGGCAGGCGTTCAGATCCAGGACAAGACTGGGAGGCTGGCAGTGAGGCAGGCTGAGAGGCAGGCAGGATGAGGGGCGGACGGTGGAGAGCGGAGGCCAGGGGATCTTGAGCGACGTGACGTTGGTAGGCAACTCCAGGCAACAGTAGGTTCGTTCTGAGGACAAAACGAAAAGGAACTTGCAGGACTTGACAACAGACAGATCAAGACTAAGACTGGAAAAGGCGGGCAAAAGATTAAAGCTGGAGCAGGCAGACTAAGACTACAGCTGGCTAGCAGTTACCCAAGGTGAGAGTATCAACCGGCACTGGAGTTGTGTCACACCGCTCCTTAAATACCCCTGGCCCTCTGATCAGGGAGCTCAGGCACAGCTGGCTCTCCGACACGCCCACCTGTGAACACAAACCTGGGACAACTGCAGCACATTGATTGCTACTGGGAATGATCAGGGCAGACCGTGACATCAACGCCAAAACTAAGAGTCAACTCGCCTCTTACATCAGGAAGAATCCTTGCGTTTCGAGCGTTATCCGTTCGTTCATAGTCCGTTGTTGAATTGTGATTGGCAGAAGCTTTTCCAGTTTGCGCCTCACTTTTTTACAGCAGTGGCCCAAAACGATCTCCTAACACATGGATTTTCTGCTTCCTGATCACGTGGCGTGTGATGTACGCGGATGAAGATCGGATGATTGTTCTCACAGTGCGGGGGCTCGTTTCGATGCCCACACAGTAAAAACATGCAAATGACGACTTTAGTTGTCATTGACAGTGAATGAGTTAAAAACCAATAAAAAATAAACAATAGACCAGGTACCTGTGTGACCAACTGCCACCACTACTAGACTGAAGAAAGAACCTGAAGGACCCCAACACACCATTTTTTAAATGTTTTCAATTTGTTTTACATGTGAAGTTCGAAAAAGTTGAGATTTTTTAACCTTTTTAATTTATATTGCATACAGTGATTGTTCAGTTATCGTTCACAATCAATGTGCAGCTAAAATGTGTGTTTGTGTGTGTGTGTGTGTGTGTGTGTGTGCGCGCGTGTGTTTGTGTGTGTGTGTGTGTGTGTGTGTGTGTGTGTGTGTGTGTGTGTGTGTGTGTGTGTGTGTGTGTGTGTGTGCGCGTGTGTTTGTGTGTGTGTGTGTGTGTGTGTGTGTGTGTGTGTGTGTGTGTGTGTGTGTGTGTGTGTGTGTGTGTGTGTGTGTGTGTGTGTGTGTGTGTGTGTGTGTGTATACACGTTTTAGTCGGTTTCAGATTTCGGCCATCAGCAACAATTTTTTTTGAATCAGTATCGGCACTGGCCTTAACTAACAGACCATATCGGTCGGCCTCCCTTTTCCGAGCGTAGAACCTGTCACACCAGTGGTGTTCTGTTGCTAAATACACGAGTGTGAGACTGTGTAATGCGTGAACGACCCAGAGAAGTGCGGCGATTCAGCAAGACAGGTCCAATCGTTCCGATCCAAAACTTGTTATTGGCAGAGGTTTCTTTTTTTATCTCCACAATCTATTTATAGCTAAATGATGTTAGAACGTTGTTAAGAGGCATAAAAATGTTTTAAGCTCATTTGTTTTCCAAATTGCAGCTTTAACATTCGAGCACTTCAGTTATACTGATTTATTCAGCTCTTCTCCAGGTACAAAACTAAATAGGTTTTAAAAACGTTTTAATTAGACACGGATTTCACATAGAGTGTAATTAGTTTCTTAGTGTTTCTTAACCTTTGGACCAGCAGCCCATCTGTTTGCAGAATGTTTACTCCTGACCGCTGGTGTCTGAATGAGTATTTTTTCTGGTTAACACTCCTAAGATAAGATAAAGTGAAATTAGCATTATTGATCCCTGAGGTTAAATCGGAGAACTGCAGCAGATAAAAATCAAACAAATTGAAGAAATTGGACGTTTAGCTTATTTCTAATTGCTACAGATCTCCCATCTGCCTAAAAGAGCTGTTTCTTTAATTTATTTATTTATTGAAAGCAGATTTAGAAACTTGTCTCTGTGCACGTTTTTTAATTTGAAGTTTGTCTGCTTTTCTGTTTGCAGGTTTGGGCGTGGAAGGAGAACGTGTGGGAGAAGGAGAAAGGTACTCTAATGGAGAGGTACACTGTGGAGCAGAGTAAACCTCCGTTCCAGGGTGGGGCGGTCCTCTCCACCCTCACCATCAACAACGTCATGGAGTCAGACTTCCACTCCCCGTACAACTGCACCGCCTGGAACTCCTTTGGGCCGGGAACCATGATCATCACTCTGGAGGAGACAGGTTTGTGAGAATGTTCCCTCCACCTGGTGTCCTGAGATCACTAGTAAAACATGTTTAGTTTATTTTCATATGAAGACATGAGACATATTATACGTTTTATAAATGAGCACTTGTGACACTACACACCCTAAATGGGTCAGCTGAATACAATACACCTCATTTCTTGGCAGAGTTTGTCCAAATAAGACACACCGTACATTAAATGTTTACCTCCAGCTTGTCCCAGCACAGTGACTTACTGACCTATAACACATTTGTCTCAGCAGTGCATCAGTATTTTACATGTTTGTGGGAAATATTGGAAAAATAAAGAAAGCTTCAGGAAAGAGAGCAGGCAAAGAGTGTTTGCAAATGAAGGATGCCTCCAGTTTCAAAGGTTTCTGCAAGTGTGCAAAAGTGCCAGAAATACTGTAAAATAAATGTTTCTGCAAGTAGCAAATTGCTTGTTGCTACATTAGTGACAGCTTTTAAAAGTTTAAGTATTCAACAACATGAGTAATATATTATTCCATTGTTTTCTGTCAGTATTGGAATATATACAGTTCTGTTACATGATAATGTAATTTTAGTCCTGGTCTCTTACATTGGTCTAGTTAAAACACTTCTGTGTTCTAAGTCTGAGTAAAAACTAAATAATTAATTTAAATAATATATTAAATGTACCTGCCATGAAGCTGAGTTTGTAACCATCCATTCGCCCGTTTTCCTCCACTTATCCGGGGTGGGGTCACGGGGGCAGCAGCCTAAGCAGGGAGGTCCAGACTTTCCTCTCCCCTGCCATCTAGGACAGCTCCTACAAGGAAAACCCAAGGCATTCCCTAGGCAGCTGAGAGACATAGTCCCTCCAGTGTGTCCTGGGTCTTCCTTTAGGACTCCTCCCAGTAGGACGTGTCTGGAAAACCTCACCATCCTGACCAGATGCCCGAGCCACCTCAACTGGCTCCTCTCGATGTGGAGGAGCAGCGGGTCTACTCTGAGCCCCTCCCAGATGACAGAAACTTCTTGCCCTATCTCTAAGGGAGAGCCCAGTCACCCTGCAGAGAAAACTAATTTTGGCCGCTTGTATCTGCGATCTTGTTCTTTCAGTCACTACCCAAAGCTCGTGACCATGGGTGAGGGTAGGAACGTAAATCAACCGGTGAATCCAGAGCTTTACCTTTACCATTAAACTAATAATAAAGCAAGTCAAAAAAGTCTAATAACCATAGAAGCTTTATTTGATCTGGGGTTTTCTAAAGCTTCTTTAAAGGTTGAATAAGTAATATTTTTACAATGAAGTCTAATGTCTCAACCATATTGGAAGGAAGGTTGCATTAAAGCTGATTTCCTTTTCAGCCGGGTGGGGGGTTGTCAGCATTTCTCCTTTAAAAAAGGCAGAAGAGGGATGGCGTCTTTGTTTATTATCTTTCCCATCTTCATACTTCCTGGTTCCAGAGCCAATCATAATTGAGCCCATGGGGTTGCCAAGTCTGCACCAGCATTGTAACACCGGCCTGCAAAAATCCCCAGCTTTGTTGATAAAACTGAAGCCAGTAACAGGCAGGCAGGCACCACGGCATTTTTTTGTGTTACGCTAATATCTGGTAAAGAAGGGTAGAGGCTAACGTTGAGCTAACAATGCTAACAGTGAATAAGAAATAATGTATCAGGCCTTAGAAAGCTACGTTTGCCGTTACCAACAACTCAATATAACAGTGAAACATATTTATCTACTTATCTTACTGTGTATGACTCATCTTTGCTTGTTATCTAGAACCTTCCAGTGCTGATCCATAACTGATAACAGCGTGAGGTGTTTGTCTTGAATCATGGATTGCAGTACCCTAATTTGACCACAGGATGTCACTGTTACTCCATGTACAGTACCTTCAAGTAGGATGAAAAAACTGGCCTTGGCTGGACTTTTTTGTCCAATCTGAATGTTTTTTAGATTAAATTGGTAAAAAATGCTCTCTCTGTGTTCCATCAGACTCACCTCACATTTATTTTGACAGCTTCCACGTTTCTTAGAAATTAGAAAGTCTCCTACAGCATCTTTGAAAGAGAAACATTGAATTGTTCTCACGTTCGTTGGATGTGTCCCCTCATTGAACGTCTTATCAGCATAACCAGCCTTCCGAGAGTCAGCTTTAAGAAGACGGATTTAGACGTAAACGGAGCTGTAGCCTTGTATGTTTGTGTAGCAGCAAAGCAGCAGCTGTCCCTCAACCCCGACCCTTCCTCTGCTTGTGTTTGTTTCAGATATTGTTCCAGTGGGAATTATAGCCGGCGGTACAGTGGGCTCCTCCATTCTGCTGCTCATGCTTCTGCTGGCTCTCGCCTTCTTCCTCTACCACCAACGCAAAGGCAGTGAGTGAACAAAGTGTTTTATTTGATGTGTTTGTGTAAGGCCATGCACACACTTACTCGGCCTGTCACTCAGCTTTTCTTCCATGCACCATCCTTCCTCTGTCCTTTTCATGAGGAAAGTGACATATGCCAGCTGCGTAGCATTTTATTCAAATGAGATTAATGAATATTCATCAAATGTGGCAAAGTGCCTCAAATCGCCCACTTTATGTCATTATTTTCCTTCTGCTGACATAGACCTTTTTGATATGTTATTGCATTTAAACGCCACTTGGACACAGGATTACGTAGCTACATAAATAAGAGATCTTAAAACTAAAGCATTTAAAGGTGAATAGCATTTAAACCGTGAATTCTTATACGTGTTATTTCCACTGCCGCAGGCAATCCAATTAGTATTTCTCAACACAAACCACGCTTCCACACAAACCGGAGATCTGACACCATGTGGTGTCTTTAAGATGTTTAATTTTGTGCTGCTTCGCTGCAAATAAAGCAAAAGGAGACACGTTGAAGGTGACTGGCAGAGTCCCCAGAGGGGATTTTCTCAGGGATAAGAGTACATTCTCTGGTTCAGAGCTGATAAACACTGCTACAGAAGAGATATTGTTTCCAAATAGAAACTCAAACAAACGCTGTTGTCTCCCCAGATAAACAGTCTCTTGTTTGTTGTCGACGATGAAGCTCGAGACTTCACAGACGGAAATCTTTTCTTTTAGGGTTCCCGGCGGTGGAAGAGGTTGTTCATGCTGACAAAATGTTGGCGGCTCAGTAGTGAAGATGTAAAAGGTTGAGCGTTTTCAGATAACAAGAGAATAATAACTTTTTACGTCAAAGGAAAAGTTCTGTAATAACAGAGCATAAAATTTAGACAAAAGTATTTCATTTTTCTATGTTTTTGTTAGAAATGCCCAAATAACTTCCATATAATCACAGCAAAATAAAACACCTGCTATCCAGTTGTGGTGGCTGGTTTTCTTGCATTTTCCTCCACTACCATCTCATTTTTAGGTTTGGTATGTAGGAAACTGCTGACATGTAGGGTTCAAAAGGTCAAAACCTCAGGAAAAACACCTTTTCACCATTTTCTGAAACTATTCTTCTGTGATACGTTTTTTAGACCCAAAATTAAAAGCAAAGTCTTTCTCTTTGGGAACCAAATAATGCCATTAGTCAAATAAAATGGCTAATGGGAGGATATGCAGCTATGACGTCTAAAACTGGTTCAGCGGGGAGAAGTCTAATGATAATTATGAAAAATGTTTTCTTTTTGTTCCAAAGTGCTGCAAAAATGTGCTTCTGAGACTGTAAACATATAGGCAATGGATGCACCAATCACATTAAAGCTGTCTGGTTGTCTCCGGGCAAACTCAGATAAAGTTAATTCAGTCTTTGGTAACATAACTAAAAGAAGATTGAGAATTAAATTTTCCACGGAGTGAATGACATGTTTCTACTTCATAAAGCTCCTCATAGACCAAATCATATAATGATCATAATCAACAAGGAAGGGTTAACGTTGCTGCTGTTCAAGTATAACTGATCGCTGATGATTTGCTTCAACTTACTCATCTTCTGTGCCTCTCAGGTCGTCGTGGTGTCACCCTCGGTAAACCAGACATCAAGGTAGAAACAGTCAACAAAGATACTCACAGCCTGGAGGAGGAGGCAGCCAATGTCTCCACAGCAACCAGGATGGTCAAGGCCATGTACTCCGTAAGTAGACTCCCATCTGAGTCACCCAGGGCTGCAGAGAGGAGGCATATGGGTCAATGGCCTTAAATGTGCAAATGCACGGACAATAAGAAAGACGTGGCAACACACACATACACACACACACACACACACACACACAGATGTGCAACAAAAAAAGAGACGCAGAGCCCAGTTTTAAACACGAGCAACACACACTTTGTTGCAGCTTCCACAGAGGAATAAAACGCGAACATGCACACATATACACACTCACTTTAACATTTTGCTCCTTCTAGAAAATCCCTGGAAATCCTGAAGAATCTAAACGACGGCGCCTCTTTGACAAGGTTTTAAACTTTGACCCAGAACAGTTTTTTTTTCTCTCTCTCTCTTTTATCCCAACAACTCACCATTTCTCGTCTTCCGCTCTCTTGGGATGAAAAAGCTGAAACTCTGTTTTCCTCTTCCCTCCCTCTCTTCCTCCTCCTTTCCTTTCTTCACCCTCCCTCTTTCCGTGTGTGTGTTTTGTTGTTTGATGGTTTAGTTTTTGCCCTCTGTTTCCCTCTCTCCCTCCACTCAGCCGTTCAAAGACGACATGGACCTGAAGCAGGAGATCAGAAGCGAGAGCGACACGCGGGAGGAGTACGAGCTGAAGGTGAGATGAGTCAGCAGAGCTACTTTCACGTGCTGACACAGAGGATTCAAGGAGAACAATTATCTACAGCATCTTTGACATCACACCCTGCATGTTGCATGAGCTTTGTGGTCGTGTTCATCTCCCGGTTCCTGTTAAGTCGTCTTGTTTTTCTTCCAGCGCAGCAGTTTCCCAACAGTAAAAGCTTCTCTTTTCTAACTTCTATTCATTGTGAGTGTCAGTCTGTTTCAACCTGAGCTGAGAGGAGAATGTTCTCCTCGTTTGTATCATAAGGTCACTGATGGAGATGTTTCTCTCATAGGTCACGACCTTTTACATAAAGGCAGTGTTCCTGCAGCCGAGCGCAGTCCTGTTGAATTTCTCACAATCTTCTGAACTAATTCAAATAAAAGAAGAATTCAATTTTCACAAGCATACTTATATTTATTCTCAGAAGGAGGAAGAACCAAGGTGACTCCAGGCTGTCGGTTTCAACGTCGAGGTTTTCTTCTCTCTTTAGAATCACAAAAACAGTTTAAATACAAGACGCTGTGTTGGAAATTAACTAATAATAATAATAATAATAATAGATAACTTGTGAAAAATAATGTAATAATGGTGAAAATAAACTCAAACATAGAATAAAAAATGTTACTTTAAAAGTATTTATAGGTAAATGTTAATGTAATTTAAAAATGTGTTTTGTGAAGTCATTATATAACCATTTAACGATAAAACAAACCTAATATTTGTCCATGCTGCCGGTAGATCCTCCACCAGGGGGCAGCAGACACGTTTAGGAGTGGGCGTGACAGTTTTTAATGAACGTACTAGTCCTGCTGCTACATCTGGAAGCTTTAAGAAATTCTATAATAAAAATTTATGACAAAAATCTACAAGGGCAAATAGAATAATAACCACATTATTTAAAAATTGAAAAATGAATTTTGAATGGAAATCCATTTAAAATAAATGTATTTCATTCTTTTTCATCTTCCTGGATTTTTCCAAAGTCACCATTTCTGGATGAAATAATGTCTTGATGAAATATTTGAATAAATAGTGATGAAGGGAGGTCAGACATTTACCAATCCACTGTGTCCTGTTTGGAACCACAGGCAGATTGGAGCCAATCCAGACTCCTCCAGATTATTACATCACCAGATTCTTACTGCACATTTTTTAAAATATTTAAAACATTGATTTAAAAGTGACCATCACCAAACTCCAGTGTGAACAGACTACATCCTTGAAATAGTCAACATGTGGAGAAAAGGATGTGACATCACGCTCCACACTAAATAAAAATGGATGCTATGTGGTAGCGTGGATGCTACGTGCTAGCGTGTGCGTATCAGTTTTGAGTTGGGCACCGCCCTAGCGAGAACAGATTATTACAAGGAGGAGGTTGAATTTTTTTCCTTACAGAGGCAGGAAATGCATTCAGCACTCCGAAGTTGCTCTGCAGTAACATCCTGTGCACGTAAATTCATGTCATCACATTTTTACATAAAGCATGAACCACTAGGCCAGGGGTATTCAGCTCCGGTCCTGGAGGTCCAGTATCCACCACGTTTTAGTGGTTTCTCTGATTCAACACACTTGTGCAGCACCTCATCAGGCTCTGCAGAAGCCTGTCAATCACCTGCTGATTGAAACCGTGTGTGTTGAAGCAGAGTTCAACTAAAACGTGCTGGATCCCGGACCTCCAGGTCCGGAGCTGAATACTTCTGCACCAGGATTAAGTGTTAACATATAAAACATTTTGTTGAATTTGATTATAGTTTGCTTGTATTTTAATACATTTAGCATGTTTGTTTTGATGTGTTTGGCACATAAATGATGCACTACAGCAGACAGTCTATGTTTTAATAACTAGCATCACGCCCTACTTTTTATTAACTCAAACCTGAAGCTAATCATTAACTTTCCAATCACAGGATCCAACCAACGGCTACTACAACGTCCGAGCCACCACCCATGAGGAGGCGCGCCCCCAGACCCGCGTTGTCCACTACCAGGGAGAGTTTCGCTCTCAGAATCCGAACAGCGGACCGTCTGGCGCCACTTCCAGTGGACCATCGCCTTCCACCAGTGGTGCAGTCCCACCCAGTGGAGTGCCAGGCTCTAGGGCGGGCTGCTACGATCCCCGCCCACCCTCCAGGATGTCCCACGCCACCTACGCTCATTTCAACACCTTCTCCAGGGCAGCACAGAGCCAGCAGGCACCTCCTAATCCAGCTCTTCCATCCCCAGGAGATTATCCCGGAGGAGACTGTGGCCTGCTGGATAGCACAACACAACTCCCATATGAGAACTATGGATACCCCTCCCAGTACGCCAGCTACAGGATGGGCTTCGCTCCCCCTATAGAGGAAGGGCCAGCCTATGAGATGTATCCAACAGGACAGGGTCCTGGCCCGGGTCCTGGACCCGGCCCCGGACCAGGACAGCAGAGTCCTGAAGTAGGGCTGGGAAAATACGGAACCTCCACTCGTTTCTCGTACTCGTCCCCACCTTCTGACTATTCCCAGAGACACACACAACGAATGCAGACTCATGTGTGAGAAACACAAGCTCACAGCGTCGGACCTGCTGTTGGATCATCAGTGACGTCACACACACTCATCCTGTACAGATCACAACATCAAACAACACCCCCCACCCCCCACCCCACTCCAAAATCCATTTTTCTTATTCCATCACTGCACAGAAACACGTTTGCTTTCTGGATCGGTGACGTGTCCACACCAAGCTCTCTGAAGCGCTGCATACATAAAGAGTGAAAAGCAATACATACAAATCAGCCTTCACACACCGGCTTCTACTCTGGCATTGATCCCAAAAGCGAGAGCCACAATAAGGGCAGAAAAGAGCTATCCGAAATCACGAAGAGGAGAATCTGGTTGCACCCTCATCTTTCTTTTCCATTATTTTGTCTCCAGGCTCATTTCTGTAAATAATATAGAAAATTGGGTAATTTTTTGACTATATTTCTTGTACAAAGATCTATACTGAAAAGCAGTTCAGCAGCAAACCTCTGGAAGACGTACTTTTTCCTGACTTGTTGCTAAATGCATCCGCAGACATGCAAACAGCAAAGGGGCAGCTTGAACTACAAACACGACTGGCACTTTCTGACCCCCCCACCCCCCCACCCCCCACCACCACCACCACCACCACCACCCCACCCCACCCCATCCTCACCGACAGTACACAATCTACCTTGATTAGAGAGGAACAAGCTCCTGGAGGTAGTGCAGCAAGAGACCAGAGTGCCAGTCCTTATGTGCCAACACAAATAAATCTGTTTTTTCAAGCGTGGCCCATGAGGCGCTCTGGATGATGAGATTTTCGACTTGATTAATTTAAAACGAGATTAAAAGGAGCAGTAGCAAGCAGCTCCTACGCCTCCTTGTGTCTCACTTCTACCGTCTTTCTCCATTTCTATACGTAATATTTCACATCGGATCGATGCTATAAAGTGTTTGTGATCAAGGTGTGGTGGGAGCACCTTTTCGTCCTGAAGGTTTCTGCAAAAGGATACCTCCCCCCGCTCACGAGTGTTCTTTCTCTCACTTGCACAGTAGAATAGATTTTTTTTTTCATATTTATACTAAAACATATGAAAAAAAAGGCATTCAGAAACATTTTATAATATTTTTATAAGGAGTTGTGGACCAAAGGTTCAGCATTTTTGGGTGACGCTCGCTTTTTAGCGTGTTTTTGGAAACATAGCCAGAGGAGGTTTTTAATGTTGATGTCGTAGGCTTAAAGTAGAAAACCTGAAGAGCTTCACCCCAAGGTGACGGATATCCATCTGGAGCAGATGCCCTTCATGGATATAAATCTGGTTGGTGTGGAACTCTTCCTTCGACTTCCAGTTTTCTGACTGGACTGCCTTTTCTCCGAGGTTTGTGGCGACATCCAGAGCGATGGATGTTGAAGAAGCAGCTGCTCGAGTGGAGCTCCTGTGAATTTTGTGAAGGCTTAAAAGTTGTCTAACATATCAAAGTGAGGCACGGAGGATTCTATCTAGCTCATGTGGTACTTTGTACTTTTGCAAAGTCGCGCAAGTCTGCTGATTTTCTCTCTGCAACTGAAAAACATGTTGATGTGCTGTGTTCAAGCTTTCTTGTGTGTTTCCTTGAGTGTGACTGGACTTTTAAGCAGTGCTCTGTATTCTTGATGAGGAAAAAGACTTGGATGAAACGTGCAGCTTTGATGTTCTTTTCTGTTTTGCTTTCACAAAAAATAAGTTATAGACACCAGGAGGCACGAGACAAACCACATCTTTGCCCCAAATTCCCAATAGCTCACACTTGTCTGCAAATTCCTCTTCAAGGCATTTATCCTTCAGGTTAAAAATACAGCAGATGAAAGTGTGCAACTCTAAATCAGTGAAAAGCAGTTGGGTCTGTCTGCCAAGGAGCTCCAAGAAACTTAAATCATTCCTGTTTGCACTCAGAGCTTAATGAGGTTCGACTGGATTGTGTCCTTCATCTTCATATCAACTCAAAACTTCACCTTAATGGTGACAAGCTTGAGCTAATTAGATTGGGCTGCAGGTGCATCTAAAATATTCTGACCTTCAAGTTTTCTGACTGTTTTGGGAGAAAATGAACCTTTTATTAGCATCTATGGGGATATTTTCCTCTGCTACGTTGGGCAGACAAATTCAAAAGACAGATAACAGAAAGGAGTCGCTCTCTTGCCATTAAAAACAATTATGCTTTAAATAACCCCCACACACACACACACACACACACACACACACACACACCCGGCTGCAAAAGCCATCAGCTGCTCCATAAGTAATCATTGAGCGTTTATATTTATCAGCTGCCCCATCAACCCTTCATGCTATATTATGGTAATTGTCTGCAAAGGAGCCATAAAATAAGTTTATTGCTTCTGTTTTCTATAAACGCAGAAAGAAACCCTCAGCCACAGCGTTTCATATATCAGATGCAACCTTGTAGCTCCAAGGTCCTCGTGTAATCTGTTTAAGCAGAGGTAGAATGGCAGACGGAGCGCTGCTTTAAATTTACATCACAAACAGTGGTTTCTGTAATCTGTAATCTGATTACAGCCATTTGACAGAGGTGTAGCCGAGCTGTCTTCTACTGACCTTGTACAGAACGGGTGAATTTGACACAAAGGAGTTACGTTAGCCAACAAATCCATGACCAGGCCTTTTAGGCACATGGTCCTAAGTGATGAAGGTGCCAAAAATATGCCAAACGTGTTTACGGTGTGGTCCAGCAGCAGAATGTGTGGTTTTGAAGGAAATGTAAAAGCGAAAACCTCACTAAGTTGGTATTTTGTGTCTTTTTCTCTTTCCAAAGTGTTGATGCTCTTTATTTTCTCCCTTGTGTTGCATAAAAACACATCTGCCAGCTTCCAAATGTTAAAGCTGAACCTGTAAGAAAAAAAAACACTTTGCATTCATTTCCAGTGTTTATTTATAAACCGCATCGCTTCCTGTGCTCATGGCATTCATCTGCGACTTATTTATGACACATTTTTATTAGAATCAGTATTGTTCTTTGTATTTTTGTGGTGTTGCATCGCCTTTGTAAGAAAAATCAAACCGCTGTGTTTCAAACTATTTTGGTTTGTTTCAAGACAAAAGGTTGTAATCTAATTAATCAGATTCATTAAAAAAGAGTGAGAGTTGCGAACATCCGAGTCCAAATCGACGGCTCAGTCAAGCCACAAATAGCCAAACCCGTCTCAACTAGGCCACCCCGGACCAGGACCGGGCCCGAGCCACGCTGGGCTGCTGCTTGCAGCCAAGAGCGACAGTTTTACTGTGTGAACTTTTCCGTGAGTGGCCAAAAGACTGTGTACAAAAAAGAAAAACTGAGCAGACAAACAAATGCAGCAGCAGTTTGTGTTTATTGTGTTTCTGAACGAATGTGTCCGTTTTTGAAGAGGAATGCATGTGAACCGTGTGTGTGAGCTGTTTCAAGCCATCAGAAATATGGAGGAGAGAAATTGGGGTTTGACTGATGGTTCAGCCTGCTGGTATGACGGAGACGCCTCCTGACCACAGCCTCAAAAACCCTAAAACTTCTTTGTTGATTTAATAAGAAATCTGATTGCATTTATTTTAATCAATATTTCCACTCCATGCCCATTTGATCAACTAGGTGAGCTAACAGTCATCCACAAAGTGTCCTAAAACAGTTGCCAATCTCAAATATATCATATCGTTTCATGCACACACTGCTTTTATAACCTCATTGCTGCAAACTTCATGCAATCTCAGCCTGATGGACATAACTCTGCCACCAGTTCCTGCTGCAAAAAGAGAAACCTTTTTGTGCAAATAACCTAGAAATGTGGCCCAAAGTTCATTAAGTGTTGTTTGAATGAACTGTTATGAAGCTTCTGACATTAGATTTGCTTGTGGGGAGCGGAAATACTTAATGAAGATATAAATCCCTAGATGCACTTTGCTGAATTCAAAGGTTTTATAAAGCAGGAACTGATTCTGGTTTTAGTTGCACAATATGGACAAAAAGACTGATTCAAACAAAAAAGGCTAAATAAATCAAATAACTCCTACTTAATTCAGTTAATTCATGCAACCCTATGGAAGTCCATTCCCACCACTCTGATTTTAAAGTCTCACAATTATGAGCTAAGCTTTCATCATGATGAGATAGCATCTCATGTAACCACCGAAACCTTCCCGAGTGCAGCCGCTGCTGCAGCTCACCGATCCCCACAGGGATTGGTCAAATGCGGAGATGTAATTTCACCAGTGTGTGATGGTGACTAGTGGGACTTTAGCTTTAACATTATAATGACGTGGCTATTTCATGATAAGGAGATACTATCTCATAACTGGGACAGCAATAGCTCAGGAGAAAACGGGGGGTGCAGTAAAGCTGCAGGTTTGGTCCCCGCCAGAGAATGCTGCTGTTGTGTCCCTGAGGAAGACTCTTAACCCGCCTTGCCTGCTGGTGGTGGTCAGAGGGACCGGTGGTGCCGGTGTTCTGCAGTCTCGCTTCCATCAGGGCAGCTTTATGACTGATTGTGTTGTGAAGAGCCTTGGGGGTTTTAGAACCCTAGAAGGCGTTATATAAATGCAGGCCATTTGCCATATTGAGAATCTATCGCATAATAATGATAACAATGGGATCTTATCTCATTATTATCATTATTATGAGATAGTTTCTCATTAGATAGCCAAGTCATAATCACAAATTTTTCTTGTTAATCAGAGTGGCAGAAATGGGCTTCCATACAAACTTTTTCTCAAAAGTGTAACTAAATTAGACTAGAATGGTATCATGACTATCAGAATAATGTTGTAACTTTATATTTAAAGAGAGAAAAGTTCCAATTGTCTTTCAGAATTATCCTAAACATCAGTCCAGCCCCAGCTGAAAGCAGGACAGATGGTGATGGAGGCCTTAGATCATACGTAAGGAACCGGGGCGGCTGTTGAGCCTCGGCTCTCAGAAACAGGAACATGAGGAACAAACGTTCTGCTTGATTTCTCTAACCGATGACGAGAATCTCCACAATGAGGAGAACCCACTTAGACAGGTGTGAAGTGGAGTAGAGACGAGTCCAGACAGGAGTGAGTTCAGCTCATATCATGCTTCATACTTCGTATCCCTACATACCGATCACAAGTGTATTAAGTTCCTGTTCAGTAATTTTTAAGAAAAAAATGTACAAAAACACTCAAGATGATGTTTTATTTTCATGTTTGAGTCTTTTTGTTTAAAGTCAATGTAATTATTTTTTCACAATATCAGAAAATAAAAGATGACACACTTTGATAAAAAAAAGTTTGAGTAAGACTTTCCTTTTGTTCAAGAATTTGTTTTAAATAAATTTTGGGTATTTTGAATGCTGTATGTTAGGTCAGAATGTTCCTGGAGCTGCAGCAGAAAATAAAAGGATTTCAGCGTGAGGATCATTTAACGCCAGAGCTCGGTGCACAAAGCCACAACAGTAGAGCATGGTGCAAAATGCCATTTATGTCAGTAACTCAACCTGAACGGTGAAGCCATTCTATGAGGCAGACTCATGACATGAAAATCCAGAATATTTCAGCCTTTATTTGTTATAACTGTGATCATTAAGGCTTACAGCTGACGAAACCCCCAAATTCAAAATCTCAGACAATCAGAATA